AGACAGTTCTACAGATATGATATGGCGACAGAGAAAGAAATTGGCTTTTTAATAAGTTTAAAAATAGAACAAGAAAATTGACCGCTCTGTAGCGCAGAATTATTCGACCAAACATCTGAGTTATTAATGATGAAATAGATAAAAACCGAAAAACAACATCAGTTTTCTTAATTGATTTTCTCAAAATTTTTAGTTCAAGTAATTTTGCTTCGTTCGAATCGAATCCTCAGTTCATAAAAAATCTTTCCAAGTATTTTCATAAAATTTTCAAAAATAGTTTGTACAAAAAAGCTATTGATGCGAGCTCTTTGATGCAAATAGAATCACTAGCTCATCTGAATTCATTTCGAAACGTTTTTGAGCCGGACTTATTAAGAGCGCAATATATCACGTGTGTTATATCAGATTTTCTCAGAATTTCCAATTTAACAATTTTCCAACACTCATAACGTTAAAAAAACAATAACAGGTGGAACATCTTATTTCGTTTCGATGTCAGGGCAATAATATCTTTCAGACTCTATAAAAAACACGTCGTGAAAAATTGATACTTAACAACGGTAATTACCCTGGTGAAAAAAAATTGAAATAACTCATTGTGAAAAGAAATGACTCCGAAAAAATGACAAATAACAGTTGTCCTGGATTGTACGCCGAAACGTACTTCATCAATCATCAAACTGTCTGATTCGACGGAATCACCTAGCTCATTTCCCACATGGCCCTCTTAGAGTTTCCCAAAAGTGTGTTCCTTTTCATTCTTCTATTTTTTCAAAAAGATGAACAATTTCTTTTTTATTGTTATTAGGATCTTATGTGTTCACCGTTACCTGACTCAACAAGTTTTTTAATAAAAAACTGTATTTCTGATGAAGGCAAATTTTTTAAACATGCTCTAAGCCTTATGTTGTCGATGAGAACAATTTATTTATAATTGATCCAAAAAAAAGTATTAAAAAAATACAAAATCGTTTTGAAATAATTACGCCCGCTTAACCATTAATTTTTGTTTAGAAGCATAGCCTAAACTTAAACTGGACAAAATGTAGTCAAAAATACCAAGGTTTTTCACATAATTCCCCAATAAACCATATGCCACTACATACAAAGATTTTTGTATCAGAACGAAGCCCTCAATGTTCCGACTGCCTTTTAAGGTCTATGATGCAGTAATAACAAGAAAAAATTAAGTTTAATAAAACAAAATGAAAAAAAAAATTAAAATTCGAGGTTTTTTCTTAAAATATTACCCCCCAAAACGCCATATAAAGGGCAAAGTATTAGATTTAACTCCTAGTAACAAATCAATTATGGCAAAGAAGCTTCCTTCTACCAATTTCGAACGATTTCTAAGACGGATTAGATATCCGCTTACGTGAGATGTAAAAAGTTGTTCAAGAAGATAAAAAAAGGCATCTGAAAATGAAAACTCGTGTTGTTGTTTTAATTTTTAAAGGTCCCTCAAATCAACTCATTTTTGAAACTTACTGGAGAAACTTTTTCGGAGATTAGCATAACTATGAGATGGCGAATATGTTAAAAGCTTTTTTGGAAAAATAAATGTGTAAATCAATTAAAGTGATTGAAAAAATATATGTACATACATTTATTTTGAAAATGTGGTTAACTTCTCTAAAACGAATTTAATTGCCCATGAGGTACCGCCTAAAGAGCAAACTGAGGACTTATTATCTTTTCACGTCGCATTTTTAAAAGCTTTTTCTAATAAAGTTGTTCTACATGTTTACCCTTATAGATACTGCAAATTAAGCGTGAGCTGTAGAAAAAATTCAAAAAGATAAAGTAAAGATATCTTTCAATTTTTGAAGGTTCATCAAATCAACTCGATTTCTAACTTACTGTGGAAACTTTTTCGGAGATCACTTTTTGAATTTAAAAATGAGATGGCGAGTATGTTATAAAGCATTTTTTTGAAAATTGAATGTGCAAATCATTTTTAAAAGAATTGAAAAAACATACGTAGATATAACCATTTTGAAGTATTTAACTTCTCTAAGTGATTTTAATTGTTCTTGAGGTCCCACATAAAGAGCAAACTGCCGACTTCTTAGCCTTTCAAATCGCTCTTTTGAAAGCTTTTTTCCAATCAAATTTCCTTTTATGTTGATTTTTGAAGATAGTGCAAATTAAATATGAGATAGGAAAAAGTATTCAAGAGAAGTTAAAATACTATCTAATTATGAAAACTGATGTTTTTTTTACTTTCGAAGGAAAATTTGTGTTTGCAAAGTTTTGTTTCTAGAAAATCTTAAATTTCATTTCCAACTGAAAAACTATAATCACTATGCGGGAAAATAAAAAACAAGACTGCTCGTATCAAGGCGGAGCCCTGAATGTTCTGACTGCCTTTTAAGCTCTATGGGGCGGTATTGACATGAAAAAACTAAATGTAATAAAAATGAAATGAAAAGTTAAAAAAATGAAATAAGATTTTTTGTGAAAATCATCCCCCCACACGCCAGATAAAGCACAAAGTGATGAATTTCGCTCCCAGTAACAAATCAGTTGCACACAATAGCTTCCTTCAACCAATTTGGAATGATTTCTAAGACGGATTGAATCTCTGCTTAAGCGATAATTTATCGCGCGTGAACTCTCTCGAGATGTCCAAAATGGCAATCTTTAAACCCTCTTAACTTTACAAAAACAGTCAAAGCTTAAATATCTTATCGAATTAAAGCTCATGACAACAATACCTTTTGCATGAAAGCCGTCTTTTGATAGCCGTCAAAAAAGGCTAGTTAAAAAGTCGAAATTTGTGTGAAGAAAAAATTTGTGTGAAGTTACTTTTGTTACGAAAGTTAGACCAATAACAAAACTCCTCAGTAGCGAGTGTATAACACTATTTTTCTATCTGCATGATTATAACGGGAAAGAACAAAACGCAATTCAGGTATAATTATATTTTAAGTTCTGACTTTTCAAGAAAGTGAGGTATATATAAGCGTGGGATGTTTTTTTTTTAATTCAGATCATTTTTCACAAAAATATTTTGAGATCAATCCCTTGATTTTTGACGGAGCTGCCTAGCGCGTACAAAAAAATGTTACACTGAACGAGTCTATCTAAACTGTTTCTTAGTTACTTTACAACTGAGAGTGGACGCGAGTATTTATGCGCGGTGAATTATCCCACACTACAAAATTGTCTTAGACTGCATTGAGGGCCAAGCTAATTGGTCTTAAATATTCCATAAATGACCAACTTTCAAAATTTAAAACAAGATGTTATGAGCCTCAAAACACAGTTTGTCAATTTTTCTACTGAAAACTTATCGCGACCAGTTAAAGCGAAAGGAGAGTCGGAACATTCAGGGCTTTTCTTTAATACGCGCAGTGCTTTGTCTTGCCACGAAAGTCAGTACGCAAATTCATGATAATCTCGCCTTTTTTCTTCAAACTTATGTACCGAATTTATCCATTTTTAATGTAATACTTTCTAGATAAGACTAAATGTTTGTAATCGGCTATAATTAAGAAACTAGCTCGTTTTAAATTGTGTTTTACTGCTTCAACTGTTGTGTAAAACCAAATTGAAGCAAACCAAATTGAAGGGCTGGCCTGAAAAAAAATAAGATTGGCGATTTCATCTCCTACAGGAAATTGTTTCTGGCTAAAAGTAAATCTAGATGTTGAAAATTTTTGTCCAGAAATCCGGTTAGAAACAAAGTGTTCTAATTCAATCTTGATTTTAGTTCTGATTTGACATAAAATATTTGTTGTTGGAATATATTCGCACCGGAAGTATGAAAATAGTCACCATTTTTGAAAAACTCATCAACAGTTTTTGATTTTTTTCATTTTTTTTTAGTTTTGGCTCTGCTGAACAACTCGATAATTTTTGATAACATACTTTATGATTTCAAAAGTTACCGCAAGCCGTATTACAAATTTATACAAGCAATGCATACGGATTATTATGAAAAACATCTGACAAACAAAAAACAGGGCGATGAACAGCCTACTTATTAGCACTTGTCAATTACCAAGCTCAGTATATTTAAAATTGGAACATCAAACAATTTGATTTGTTATTAGAACAATTTTCGGTCCAAAAAATACAATTTTAAATGCCAATATGTTCCCATTTAATCAAAAACCGATTTAAAATTATTTAAACTTATCCAGAAACTCTCTTTGAAGTATTTCTGTGTAAAAAATTTTTATGGAAAAAGGGCATCATACAATTTTTTTAAATGGAAGTTGTATGATAAGCATTTTTTTCATTGAGCTTTTAAAAATTGCAGTGTTTTGAGAAAAAGTTCAGAAAGAAATATAGAGTATTTCTGGAATAGGACGCTTTCGCAGCAATGATATCTTTTTAAAATTTTAGGATTGATATATGCTATAATTGTTCTAAAAGCTATTGTTTTGAGTCGCAGAAGCCTTACATCTCAAAATTTCCAGCTCATTGCAAACAATATTACGAAAATGAAAATAGCTCAAAAAAACACTCTGACGAGACGAAGTAATTGACTCAATACGAGTTTTTTTACTATATTTTTCAATAAAACATATTGTTACTTCAAAAATTTTGACTTTGTTTGACCTAAAGATCAAACCTATTCGACCCATAATTCGACATTGTTTGACCAATGATTCGATTTTGGCTTGACCGAAGCATTTGCTCGACCGTCTCAGAGTGGGCGGCGAACCAATCGGTCGGTGGTATATAAACCAGCCGAAGTATAAAACAGACGAAGTATCAACCGGCCGAAAATGCTAAGTGTTATATGATAGTTATGTAACATTAATGTGACAGCTACGAAAGTCATACAAATTTCATTGATGTGACGCAACGGTTCGGCTGGTTTATACTGCGGCTGGTTTGTTTACTCTGCAATCGATATGACAAATCCTAGTTTTATGTTGACCTTTTGACCTTCATCAATAGGTCACCTATCTCACGGTGATCGTTGGACTATTCTGGTGGAATCATGAGTTTAACTCCTCAGAAGGAGTATATAGATGTGTACTGACATGTAGATGCGGAACAGGAGGTGGTAGGTGATGTAGGGTGTGCAGAGGATGACGTAAGCAGTGGCCACGATCAGTAGCGCCTTCGTCAGCTGGAACAGCAACAAGGAAATAATTACAGAGTTACGTTATACGAGACATGGTTGCCTAATTGAATTCAAGTTCGAAATCAATATAGTCAGCTACTGGCCTTTTTTGGTAATGTTAAAACTACAGGATACAGGGTTACACCCATCGCAGATATTGTAACACTACTTTACTTAATGAATACAATATTCATTGTATTAAAATAGGGTTTCGCTTTATGCGAAAAAGTTCACCTTCATTTACTGTTTTTCGAAGTTAGCAACTTTTTATTGATAGAAATTATGATTGGTCGGTCGAAACTGGTTCGAGGCTCAGAAAACTTGAATGGTTTAAGACCCAGCCGTGACAAGCACTTGATGAATGAAGATTAGATGAACCAATTAGGGTTTTTTGGCTCCTCTAAATTTCAGAGCATGCTTAATTAGTGAGTTTTGAGAGAATAAATGAATACTTCCCTGTTCCCAGTTGGGGAAAAATCTACTTTGATCTCTGTAATTAGATTCCAGTTCTCCTTCAGTATGTGCTATCCTCGGGATTAGACTTGTCAGGAATTTAAGTGCACAAGTCAAGATTCTAAGAGAGGAGATGAAATGGTGATGAAAATGTCGATCAGTCCGTAATTGAACAATAAATCGCTAAATTAGTTTGAGATACAAAGAAATTAATTTATGTATATCCATTAGGATTCGAGAGTACTTATTGTGATACTAAAAATAACAAAACAAGTCTGAGCTAAGATTGGAACCACACATGAACTAAATATGAGAAAAATTCAGAAAATTAAGAAATATCTGCCCCTAATTTTTTCGTCAAAGTGTTCCAAGAGCAAACAAAAAGTTATAATCAGATGAAATTCTATTCTAGTTATCTTTTTTTCTCACAAAAAATGTTGTCTTTCATCTGTTTTGCTTGAGTTGAGGTGTTCAACCGACTCCACCAAATCGGCTGTTTTGGCCAACTTGACCCAAAACGGCTATGTTTTGACCATCTTGAGCAAAAAAAATGTTTTCCATAGTGTTCGACCTAATTGTGCTGTTTTGATCGACACCACATAACTTGATTCGACCGAACAAAAATGTGTAATTCAAGCTCACTATGTTTTGACTTACTTGACTGAAACAGGCGATCTTTCGTACGACTCGACCGACTTTGACCATTTTGACGCGGTGTTAATTGTCGAACAATTTTTCAGTGTCGATATAAATTTTACAATTCAAAAAGTTAAGTAGCCTATTGTTCCGACCTACGAAGAAAGTGACGGAATATTTGTGGTCGGGGTGATTTTGTTTTCTCCGGACAAATTTCGACTTTTTAACTAGCAATTTTTCTACGGCAATTTTTATATCATTCGAAAGTTACTGTTGTCCTGAGCTCAAAATTCAACTGTGATCAATTTTTGTAATTTTTTTTTAAAAAAAAAAAACATTTTATCTGTGATCAATTTTTGTGAAGTTAAGGGGGCATGAAGATTGCCAGTTTGACCAATGTAGCCAATTTGGAACAATTCACGTGCGATATAATTCGCGCTATTGACGAGTAGGAGGAGATTAAATCCGCATAGAAACCATTCTAAATTGGATTGAGGCATGTTCTTTAGTCTAATTAATACTTTGCTATATGTAAATACATAATAATTTTGCTCTCTACATATCGTGTGGGGTATGTTTAAAAAAAAACTTAGAACAAAATATTTTGAATTTTTTTTCAGTCCTTTTCTAACATTTCATCAAATATATTTTTTTAATTACTCCAAAGAAACTAAAGCGCAGTCGGATTATTCAGGGCTTTGCCTTGACATGAGCAACCTGGTTTTTTGATTATCAATATATAAAATGAAAACTGTAACGCCGTTCTGCTAATATTAATATTTAAAACAAATTTCAGAATTAATGGATCTTAAGGTCTCAGTTGTCTGCATCAACTAATTATTATGTTTCTCATTGGCCAAGTTCGGGACAACCTACATATAGCAAAAAAATATTGTTATAATTTGCATACAGAAACTGCCGCTCGTTCAATTCCAAATAGAAAAAATATGACATATAAATTATCAAATAATTTCCATGATTGAAAAATGTATGATATGCAATTTTTGCAAAGTTTTTGAAATTTTTTCAAAAAATCAAAGCAAAATTTCCAGAAGTCATAATTATTTTCAGTCAAAAAACAATTATTTTTCCTTACAAACCTAACCGAAAAACGTTTGCCGCCAAACATGTGAAATTTTCTCTATAACGTAGTCCAGGCAGACTTTTTTCTACAAAAAAAAATGTTTGTTGATCTCAGCTGAGCGCTATTTGGGCAGTTTCCCAGTTAAGTACTTTCCTTCCTCAAAACTATTCGATAAGTATTCGTAAGTTGAAGAAACCTTATGATGAGTGGCGTCCCTCATGCGGAAGGACCGAATGCTTGAAATTAATTTTAGCTTACTTTCAGCCAATAAGAATTGAGTATTCAAAATCTTGAAGTAAATCGCGAAAATCTCAAATTTGAAATTACATCCAGGCCATTAGTGTTAATATTGACCGATTAGATAATAAGCGGATGAGTTTTCAAGAATGAAAAATTCTTATGATTTTGAACTTAATAACCTTGATGATTACCTGAATAGTAATGCAGTTGTAACCCGCAATTTGTAATATTTTTGATTACTACTCACTGATTTAATACATTTTCTGTTAAAATTGACTTCGATTTTGTGAGAAAAAACCATTTAGCCTATAGAAACGCTTAGCGATTTTGATCGGTTGAAATTTTTCAAGCGTTCGGTCCTTCAAGCATGAGAAACCTCCCCCTTATAATGGAGTTTAATCGTATTGTTTTGTAGGTCTAATCGTATTAAATGATTAATCGTATAATAATTGCATAATAATGACCTATACCTTGACATCTTTGGGAGTCACTCGAGTAGATGCATTGCCGTTCGGCTTTGTGATTGGCTGATTATTCTCGTCAACCTGACCAATCATATTCAAATTGGAAGAAGTTCCAGCAACCATGTCATCGTTATCTTCTGTCCCTTCATGGGTTTTTAATGTCCCCCTATGTGGACTCTTTGGTATTTCCGTGTAGCATTCGGAGTTTTTCGAGTTGCACAGTGGCTTCATAGATTGGCCTTGACACGAATTGAAACCTGCTTTGAGGTTGCGGTTTTTGCTTTTCATTCTTCTGCGCAGCGATGCAGCGGTTATTAAGGAACTGAAATGAAAACGATCATTTTGTTTGAAAAGACAAAGTTTTGCCAGCCTGATGAAAAATGTTAAGTCCACGCTAAGTTAAAAAATTCATGTAGTTGGGGAAAATAACAGCTCAGTAAGTTAAAGAAAAAAAGACCAAAATTGCGGTACTCCTTGTTTGTCAACATGATGGTATGTCATGATGAACAAAGAAACACATTTCTTAAATTGCCTTGGTTATGGCTAGTGTATAAAGAAACGTTAATTATCTGAGATATGACTTAAAGTGTAATGAGTTGAAACAAAAGCGTGATAGCGTGGATCGTGAACGATACCCTAAGTGCTTTGCTGCTCTGCCATCTTTATTTAGTACAAATTGGATGCAGATATTGGGTGGATGCTTCTCTCACCTCAGGTATTTGACCCCCTGACTACTCTCTCACGTACTTCAATATATAAAAAAGTCAACAAAAGGTTTTCGATTTTTTGAACCTCCCCCTCCCTTGGAGAAGACGCTACATCCACACTTGCTGAATGACTGAATGAGAGGGGGGTGAGAGGGAATGAGAGGGGGGGTGTGTTGGTCTTGATGTAGGTACCTGATGACGATTCCGAGGATGGAGAGGGAGTAGAGTGTGATGACGTGGAGAGTGGCCACTCGGTTGACCAGCATCCAGAAGCGCTCTTCGTTCTCCCAGTTCTGGAAGGTGGCGTGGTAGTAGAAGCAGAGGAGGGAGAAGGACAGGCCGGTGGAGGCGGAGTAGAGCACACTGCCTATCAGCACATACCTCACATTGCGTACAGAGAAGAACTGCGGGTACTGGATGGGGAAGCACACTGCTGTCAGTCTGCACAAAACAAAACAAAATAACACGCATATTACAGTTGGGAGCAGGAAGTAAACGGATCGAATCACAGCCAGGGCTATCACATAACCAGAGTAGCCGGTTGCTGTTGGTTTGAGCAAATGAACTGGTGGTCCCATCTAAAGCTTAAACTTTAAAAAATAATAAACAGCTAATCATGATCATAAATATGGATTGTTTTCAAATAATCTACAGACATAATTATTTTAAAGTGAGCTCCTTACGTAGCTCAACAAACTTTAAGAAGGGTATATTCTCCAAAACATTGTATAAGTTAATTTATTTTTGTTTAATAGGCAAAAATCGTCGTTTTTACTATAAAAAAAATACCAACTATTTATTTTAAAACAATTTTTAAACGATTTGCAAACTTTTTTGGAGAATATACACTTTTTGAAAAATTGAGAGAAAAGCAGGGGGCAATTCAAGCAGGAAATATGTTTTTGGGCGATTTAAGCAGGACGATACGAACTGGCGTTTTTAGCAGGCAGAGCAAGAATTGTGAAAGCTCAGTCCTTTGAACTTTTTGTGTGAGTAACAGAAGTCGAAATAAAAAAAAGCCCTTACATTGGTTTTCAAACCAAAAAAAAGTCCAAAAAAGTCCGAAAATCAAAAAAATAATTTTCTTAAGTTTAACCGTCAATTTGTTAAGTTAGTTTTAAATGGTTGTTTTGAAGGTCTATAGCCAAAATGGAACAAGGATAGCCGATTACTGAGCAAGTACCATAGAAATTTCCCACCATAGTCTTTAAAAACTACAAATAAAAAGTTTTTTTTTTCAAATTAGTGTAATTTTTTCTGCGCGGTGTGATAAAAAGGATCTGACGCAAAACTATAATTTGAGCATATTCAACAGTCATAGTTTTATAGGCAAATCGAACAAAATTTGTAGAAGAAAAACGATTGGAAAAACAAAAAATAATAATTTTTAGAAAAAAAATTTCAAATTTTTTTTGCAAAATAATTTTGATTTTTTTGAAAATTTTGGTGCTCAAAATGGCGCTGCGCTAAACACTGCAAAAACTATTTTACTTGCTGAAAATAAGGTTTTTAGGGCTTAAATTAGCATTCATTGTCTATCAAAGTGAGCAATCGTCTTTATTCAATTAAGACCACAGCAACCATTGCCTAAAAAACATCAAAAACATCCTTTTTAGAATAGTCTGAGTGTGACGGAATCCAACTGGAAAGCGTTTATTTTGATATTCCAGCCACATGTATGTTGTACTATTCCTAGATGATAACAAAGTGACCTGTTGAGACATATAGTGGCCATGAGGAATAGGGAGACTAGTGGTATGAACCAGAGGATGAACTGGTCCACTAGACAGGGTTCCAGGGGTAAGAACTGGTCATAGACTGCCTTGAGCACTGGAAACACGAGGAAGTACATACACGACATCAAGTCCACCACACCTAAAAACCAGCAGGTGGCATAGCATTCATTTACATTATGAATCTACTTAAATTTCAATCCACCAATAAAAAGTCCATAAAATTATGCAGCAATGAAACATTTTGACATAAACTGAAAACTGTTACATATAATGTGAAAAAGTACGCCAAGTGGATAAACTGTTTAAAATTCTTAATTCATTTATTCGGCAAAAATGTTATTTAACATTTTATTGATCATTTTGTGGCAATTTAATCAGCCGTTCATATATGTTTAATTAAAGAGTGACTCAAAAGCATGTCGAAAAAATGTATGTTTCTTCACTCTAAAAGAGCCCAAAAAGAGCAAATTTTCGACACATTTTTTTTGTCAACAAGGAATTTTTTAAGCTTTTTAAGAATTGTCCAATGGAGCTCGAATAAAAACTGAAAGCGCTGTATTATGGCTTCTAACAAATATCCAGGTGACCTTATATTCTGGTCCTCAATTTATGTGAAAAAACTACCTTAATCCAAAAATAAACTTTGCACCTTGGACAGGGGCGGAAATAGGTTGTTCTCGGAGGGGGTTAATTTTCAAAAAATCCTAAAACATTTTTTTTAGATGACCAGAATGATTTTCCGAGCTCTCTTAAAACACCATCGAGACACTACTGCGACAAAATTTTCTGCGTTGCAGGCAAATTTTTGCAAAAAAAAACAAGCCAAAAAAAACATGTTTTTGGGCGTTTTTGCAAACAATTGACTATAAATTCGTACCTAAAGGGGGACCTTTTGGGTGGTGAGGGGGTCGAACCCCACTTAGCCCGCTCCTGGCCTTGAGTGGTCGGAGCGATAACATGAAGTTCGATCGCTTTTTGCCACCAATAGCCTTATTCATTTCTGAGCCCATATGAACTATCCTAATGCGGTTGTAATATTCAAGGGGGCGTGGCTCATATTAATAAAAATAACAACCGGCATTTCAATATATTGGATGGTATTGTCGTTAAACAGTCTACTTTGAAAACCGGCATTTTGGGAAATAAAAGTCCGTTTTCAAACAAAGCTTAGTGGTAGGCCAACAAGCCGAAAATAGTATTACCATCACATCAAGCCAAAATTTAATAATGTTATGGAACACAACGACAGGCTGTCACTGTTGTTATGCAATTGTTAAGTAATTCTGATGTAACTTCGACTTCAACATATGGCGGTTGATAGATATCGCCGTTTTCTGAACATTCGCCCAAGGTTGATTGCATGTCGAACCAGCTCCATGCCCAAAACTAAGCCCTCCCTCTTATATCCTGCCAGATGAACATGCCTGATAAAACCCCTTTCATCTCTGTACGAGCACTTTAAATTAAATTTCCTCTCCCCTTTTTCAATTTCTAACACCGCAGGAGGTTGATTAAATTAGCCGTTGTAAACCCAGTTAAAATTCAATTAGTAGCTGTTTACTTATGGAAATTATGAGCTTTTCTGTGGGAGAGAGGGTATGTTTCTTTCCGTAGACGTAGGTCACACATCCGTTCCCAATTAGTCCGATCAAAGCAATCAGAGTGCCAACAGAGGTCTGCAGGGTGTGGACTATTGGCCAGAAAGAGGAAGTTGAAGTCGCGTTTTCGGACGTCATTTTTTCCAATCTTTGTCTTCACTTTTCACTTGATTTTTTGTTTTCACGTTTTTTTTCTTTTTAACGAGTTCCGGAGTCAGCAACTAATGGCAAAAATTGAAAAAGACGAGGTTTGTCAGTCAGACGATGCTACTGTCAGTAGTCACAAGCAGTCTAAAAAAGCACAATACACAATTTGAATTTTCAAATTTATCATGCCAACTAAAAATTTATACTAAACAAGATAACTACTTGCGATACAGAGCTGAATTTTGCAATATGATGAATTAAACTTTTCAAATATCTAGCTCGATCAAGTGCCTATAGAGACGAAATTTATTCAAGAGAACGCATAAACGGTGGGAAGTTTGGGCTCAAAACTATTAATCAAAAATAAACGCTTTCGTCATGAGTGTTCTCAGCATCTGAAATAAAAAAGTTAAAAAGCGAAAGTAAAAATATGTCTGATAGTTCGAAAATGTTTAGTTAAGGAATCATCTTTTGTGTGAGGGAGAAGAAACCGCGCCAAGCTAAATTTTTCGCCTCTCCGAAAGTAGAAAAACGTTCAGAACAAAAAAATCCAAACACTAGATGGTTTTCAAGCGTTGTATAAAGTCGTATATAGTTTTCAACTAGATTTTTGATTTTGATGCAGAATGGTAATTCTGGCTGTTTTTGCTATTGAATCGAGTAAAAAAATGTTAAAACTACAAATTTTAAAAAAAAAACACTGTTTGAAAAGCAGCTTCTAGGATTCTTAGGTTTTGGCATTTCAAAACCCGTGACAAGTATGAGCTACCTTTAACTAGATAGCAAAAGAAAAATTCTAGTCAATTTACTTTTCGGCCTAAATATCAGTTTACTGGCCTCATTATTCAGAACAACTTCCCTTGTTACTCAAGCTCACAAAATGCTATTAAGTTTGAGCAGGATTACTGGCATTTTTGGGCAGGATAATTCCTCAAATAACATAAGAAAGAATCATTTTCTTAAAGTCTTGATACCTCCTTAATGAAGTAACTGGTTACTTGCTTGAATTTTTGCAAGCCATCAAGCCTTGAAAATTGTTGCAAGCCGTGAAAATTAAATCAAATTTGTATATATATATGAGCTAGAAAGAAGTTAAAGGTTTCATTTTCGTCTCTCCTACAAAAAACGTGGTCAAAATTGAGCAACGATAATATTTGAAATATTACTACCAGGGTGGACTTCACAGAGATAGTTATCGTTGCTGTTTCAAGATCTACGGAATTAGCACTGAATTATTAGCGCTAGGTCCTTCGGAATACCGAAATTAGAGTCGCCCAATCTCTGAATTATCACTGACTCATATCTGAAACCGCGATCAGTTTCAGAAAAAGTGCAGTTTGATTTCTGAAACGGCTTTGATTTAGGGAATAACCAATGCGTCTTTGCACTAAATTTGATTCAGTACTGCAATTTACATAAAATAACAAGACTGCTCGTATCAGGGCAAAGCCCTTAATGTTCCGACCCCCTTTTAAGGTTTATGGGCGCAGTAATAACATTAAAAAGTTAAATGTAATAAGACAAAATGAAATTTTTTTTCTAATTTTTTATGAAAATCATCCCCCCACACGCCATATAAAGTACAAAAGGATAGATTCCGTACTTGCAACAAATCAATTATGACAAACACGCTTCTTTCAGCCAATTTGGAACGATTTCTTAGACGGATTAATTCTCCGCTTACGCGTTAATGGCGCGAAATATATCGCGCGGAAATTGTCCCAAATTGGCCAAAATGGCAATCTTCAAGCCCGGTAACTTTATCAAAAATAATCACAGGTGAAATATCTTCTCAAATTTGCGCTCAGAACAACAATACCTTTCGAATGGTATAGAAAACGGCTAGTAAAAAGGCTTAGGACAACAATACTTTTTATATGATAAAAAATTATATCGTCGAAAATTGCTAGATAAAAAGTCGAAATTTGTCTGAAGAAAAAAAACAACCCCGAGCACAAATATTACGTTACTTTTGTATCGAAAGTCGGAACAAAAATAAGTGTTTCATCATCTGATCTGTGACAATTTATCTATGAGCAATTTTATTTGCAGCAACGATTCATGATAGAATGCTGCGACGTCACTTTGGGTAGCAGCTTTAACAAAGTTGACAAAACTTGTGTTGTGCTCAAAAATTTGTGCTCAAAAATTACCGAATAAGAACATTTAAACTTAAAAATATGAATTTGACTCAATTTAAACCAATGTTTTTTTGAAGACAAAGTAAAATGAAATCAATTGAAGTAGAAAAAAATACGAAAAGAAACTATGAATTTAAATTAACTTATTTCTATTTAAATTGAACCAATTTTGAGACTAAAACATTTGATTTAAATGAAATCTTTTCACATCATGCTTTCTTTTTGAAAATTCAATTGTTAACCATAATTCATGCATTTTCAATCAATTTGAATCCATTTAAACTTACTGACACTCATAATGTATTAATTTCATTGAGAGCGTGAAAAAAATTACATTCAAATTAATCCAATTTAAAATCCTTGGGTTTTGATAGACTTTAAATTGATTCATATTGCAATTGATGTTTTTTCACACTCTTAACGAGGGTTACAAAAAATCAATTTATTTATAGTAAAATATATTTTATTTTTCACAAAGTGCTCATCAAGAAAAAAAACTGATTGTGTTGGTTAATTTTTTTATATATTATGAGAACTTGATCGTTTTGAAATATTCTTTTGAAAACTTGTGAGAAAAACAATATCTAAAATTTATATAATTATTTTCATAGAATAAATTTGAGCATAAAGTGAAACTTTTCTGGCATTACTTTTAATTTCAAATAAAATTTTAGTAATAAATCTGGCATGCAGTGAGATTTTTTATGGTTCGATCGAATAATTTCGCTTCCAAACTGTCATTTGATTTGACACTTTTATTTGTTCACTGGAAAAAAATTGCTGAAACTTTTGTTTATTTTTAGATTTTTTAATTTTTAACATATTTTCCGCCTTGTCTTTTTTATTAGTTAAAATTTTTTATACATGCTTGAAGAATGTAGGCATTCAATTTTGATAGTAAAATTAAAACATGACCGAATTTTATTTAAGCATTCCAAAATTGTTGAAATTTGATTTCTTGCAAGCTACTAGCTACTCAATTCAACTGGCTACACAATTCAACTGTAACAAGAATTTTTTTATTGACCTTTGTTGGAAGAAGTTCAAAACTTATAACTTATCCGCAATCATTTAACCAAAATTACTGAAACTTTTAACCAAAATTACCGAAACTTGCTAACTGATATTTAGAATGTTCGAAATGTTGCCTGGATTCGAACAGTGTGCTACTTTGGTTGTTAAATTTGCCCCTGATTTTGTTAAATCTCAAAGGCTGGACTAAAAATCTATTGAAAATTGATTGCAATTAATTCAAAATCATTTTTGCCTGTGCGCGGGACGTTACATAAAAAATTTACAGGTAAAAATGTTTTGGTTCTGGTTTCTGAAACTATTTTTTGGCAATGTCCTCATAACAAAACAATTTCCGAATTGACATTAATTTCTAGTTTGCATTGAAACTCGAACTTTTTCTATGAAAAAAAATTCTTTTTATCAGTATCAAAGTAATGTAAATTTTAATGGGAATTGATTTGTTCCAAACAAATGTTGAGAGACAATTGTCAGTAGCCAGTTGAAAGGTAATTGGCTGGAAAAACTAATCACAAGAAATTAATAAGCAACAGCGAGTTCATGTTCTTGACTAAAAAAAAATTAAAACTTTTACAAATTAAATTGTCAATTTTGCACCTGGTTCAAAAAACCAGCAAAATGTAAAAATTTTCTCTTTGCTTTCAATTTATGCCATATGAATTTTTTTGCCAATGGAGTCATAATCTGTTTTTATTTAATAATTGGTGAAGAAAAATTTGCTGAAAGGTTTTTGAAGATAAGATAAAGCTTCTTTCTCATTAAGAAAAAGAGCAATATAAGAGCAACTCAGATCATCACGGCAAACCACTGTAAGTTCACTTGCTTAGAGTCACAAGCGTCTTTTTTTTCTGGGCTAGAAATTGCTGTTTAACCCTGCTCGCAGGCAATAAATAATGGTGGTCCTGCAGCTCCTGCAGCTTTGGCTTATAAAAGGAGAGTTTTGTCTCATCATCATTGCCTCTAGTTGTCTTAGAGAAAACTGTTACTGGTAAAAAAAATTAAAGTGGTAAGGCGCTCACTTCGAGAGCGTCATATAGTGTATTCGATCCATTGACAGGGCTATGATATTGTGTGGGAACGTGCTCTCAGCCTGACTTATTTCAACTGCAATAGTGGCATCACGATGAAAAGTTCTAGCCGAGTAAAAAATGGCCTTCAGTCTTAGAAAAGTTTCGCTAACTAAAATAGCTCAGTCTGGAATATGTGAAATAATAGAAACAGACTAAATTTAGACAGGCTTGATAGCTTTTATAGATCCTCTGCAAATCGCAGAAACCATAAAAATTATTTATTTTTAGCACCTAATTTCCTTCGAATTTCATAGCAGCACATTTGAAAAGCTTAAATCTTTCAACTTGAAAGAATAACACTTGGCAAATATGTCGTTCTGACTTTTGAAGAGTCTTACTGGAAAATGCTGTGAGAATTAGAAAACCGGGTTGTCAACGTTCATTTTTTGAGACAAGAGAAAGTTGAATCTTCTCCTTTCTCACAGTCTCTTCCAAAAAGAGCTTTAACAACCCATTTTATCTAGTTCTCAGAGCTTTTTCAGTTAGTTGAGATATGGTGTTCAGAACATCTTAAGCGGCAAATTACTTTTAGTCGCCTAATCGATGACCCGTTCAACTAAAAAAAATTAAGTAATGTAATTGGAAAAAAGAGAAGCGAGAAGTTTAAGCCTCGAGTAGCTTCTATCTTACTATTTGCTATTTCTTTTGTAAAAAACGACACTAATTGATATTTTTCAGGTCAATTATGAAACAGAAAAAATAAATATGCATTCGATGAATCTTGAAAGGTGAGAGGACTATCTTGAGAGGTGAGAGGACTAACAACGTGCACTTGGTTTGTCCTTTTCACCAGCCTTTTTCACCAACATTTTTATCAGAGCTAATTGATTATTTCGCTTTTTTCTGACAAGAATAACGCTCATGTCTTTATTTTCAGCTATCGAGAAAAATGCTCAAAATT